TTCGAAAAGAATAAACCAGTTTTATTTAAGAAAGGACTTGTGTCGCTAAAGTTTCATCGGAACGAATTTACGGAAAATTAACTGACGACTGGAGGCGTAACAATATTTTATCTCATATCATCAAGACACAATGCAACTCCTTACATAAATTATAAAATTGTATAGACAGCTACTTAGATGATAAAGTTAAATAATTGATAACCATTTAAATAAGCATATTATTAATGAAAACAATATTTTTACACAATCAAAAAGAAAAGATAGTTCAGTTATTTGATATCAGTATCTCTAAACAACTTTTTTTAAAAAAGCTGGATTTTTTAACTGAAAGCAAATCTATCTTAATGTTTTTACATGTGTGGTATTTTAACTATTATGAATCGTTTTTCATCGTTTACTTTATAATGTTATTTAATGAACTTTAAATTTATCAACTACACAGTTGAAAAAATTGTCTTGGGATCAAGCAAAATAATTTGATATTAAGAAAGTTTAGAAAGATTTAGAAATAAAAGTAAATCTTGAATGTTCCATAATAAACCATTGAATGTATTTCTTTACTTTTAACACATCAGGGACAAACTGGAGACCCTGGACCACCTGGAACCTCTGGTCTAGATGGACTAAATGGGGCACCTGGAGAAAAAGGAAATGATGGAATACCAGGAATACCAGGAGAAAAGGGTCAACTGGGAGAACGTGGGTTTAGAGGTTTTCCAGGACCCAAGGGAGATATTGGTCTTTCAGGCAGGCCTGGTCTCCCAGGGTTTGATGGTTTGAAAGGTGCAAAAGGAATATCAGGCATACCTGGACAGCCAGGTGAATATGTAGTTGTCTTTGAGTTTAATACTTTTGTCATGCATCCTGCTATTGATAGGGTAAATTGTATATGTATGAATAAGATATCAGATTGCTTCAGAGAAGGAATGTATGATGTAACTTTCATAGTGTAGTTAAGCCTGTGATAAAACTTACTTATCTGTGTCTGAGACTTGCACTTTATCAATTTTATAATGTTTACTGTCACTCTTCAATAAATTAAGATTACAATTTTACAAATCATTTCAGTTAACTGGCTAAAGTGTGCTAAATGTTTTCAAGACTTATTAGAACATGTGTTCATTGGTGTTAAATTAAAGTGAACTTATCATATACAACAAGTGAAAATATGTATAGTTTGAAGTTTTGCGAATTAAATATAAAAATTATATGTTATATATTTTTGTAGCCATAAAGTATTTATGCTATCATATCTGGAATTTTTGAATATTTTGCCATTGAATGGCATAAATCACTTGATTTCATATCGTGTTTTTTTGTTGTTATTAATAAAGTGGTCAATGGTTTGCTTTGTATTAGATTTTGCCTACCTAGTGTTATGTTTAATATGTTATAAAATGATTTGTTTTAGATGACAGCAATCAACATATATCTTACGTTTATTTATTCTCACAATAATAAAAGTTTGTATCTATGACCAAAGTGAAATTATAACTTTAAAAATGTTTTTTTCAGGTGAGAGAGGTGAAAAGGGTCAAAAAGGAGAATTAGGGCCACAAGGAGCTATAGGACCTCCTGGAATAAAGGGTGAAAGGGGATTTGATGGAATTCCTGGACTACCAGGTACAAACATATTAATGGATTTAATTTTTATGACATTCAGATTAAAGATATGTAAAAAATTCAATTTAAGTATATAATCGAATTATATCATGAGAATTATAACACTGAAAAACTTAATGCCTTTCATGTCTTTAGAATACTATTACCTCAAAAATACAATGTTTTATATTTTCAAAGAACATTTCAAAAACTGATAAAAGAGACACTAAAAATACTTTAAGTTCTTAATGTGTACTTTCTATAATAAAGAAAGATTATGACAGATTGGGCTTCATATTTGTGTTCAGTAATTCAGAGACATTATTTATATTTTATAAGGAGAGAAAGGAGATCGAGGACCACATGGCTTTGATGGAAGACCAGGGAATAATGGCTTGCAAGGGGCTATAGGTAGAATTTCTGATATATCATTTCATGTATTATGTATTAGTAGCTAATTCACAGCCCTTAGGGATAAAGACATATCAGTCTTTAATTGGTTTACTGAAACGTTTTTAACAAATATCTATATTATTGAAATTATATAAAACTTTTAATAATGTCTTTATTAGTCGACATACAAAATGTAAGCAAGTGACCTACAATATTTTATATAACTTGTCATATCTGCATGATGTAAGAAGACATATGTTAAACAGGTGAACTAAAATACTATAAAAAACATTTAATCGGGTTTTGCATGAATTAAAAAGAATATATTAAATACTAAGGAAGTGATGTATAATACTATAAAATGTTTAGTTAGATTCTGAGTGAGAAGAAATATATTAGATGTTTAAAAAGTGATTTTCAACACCATATAAAACATTTAAACAGGTGAACTAAATACTGTAAAAATATTAAATGTTAAACTGATGATCTATGATACTATAAAGTAAGAAGAAATACATTACCTGTTAAACTTGTGATCTACAATACTGTAAAAAACCTTTCAATTCTGCATGTATTAAGAAGTATGTTAGATGTCAAAAAGATGATTTACAATACCATGTAAAACATTTAATCATATTTTGCATGAAGTAAGAAGAAGTTTATTAATTACTTGATCTACAGTACTATATTAAAATCTTTAGTCAGATTCTGCATTATCTGTGAAGAAATATGTTCAAGGTTAAACAAGTTAGTCTACAATAATATATAAAATATATGGTGTGATGCTTTATATTTAATATTTCATTATTGCTGCACTTTTATTCATATGCTACATTCTAGTTGATTATTTAACCATTCATAAACTGCTCCAGAACTAAAAGGATAACATTTTTATCACTTTTTTTTCCTGACGAAATAAAAAAATAAATAAGTTACTATATATTTTAACAAATTCACATATTTATTGAATATAGTTCACAAATTTGGTTTAATGACAACATGTAACACTACTTACAACTGTGGAATTGGAGTTCCTTCAGATTTAAAATGTTCAGAGTTAGAGCTGAGTGAATCAACTTGTCTGAAAGTGTCATATTTGGTAAAGAGAGATGCTTAACCCAGTATAAATAACTGCTTCTGATCACATGGCAAATGACATTAAGGGGTAATCCATCCCATTCTTCAGTCAATGGAATATCAATGTCTCTGTGACATTTATAATGAATTGAGGTGCATAGTATCTAAGAGGGCTCAAGAGGTCCTCTTTAGAATTTGAATTAATTTTTTTTGGCTTATTCATCTCATTTACAGCATTTTGTTCAAAGTAGTCCAACATAATCCTAATGATATGTCATTGGGTGTTATCTTGAATCAGGAACAAAGGGTAGCCTCTATGCATTCATAAAAAAAAATTAATACAACTGAATTAAATGCTAGGTCAATATATTTTAGGGAGTAAATGAAGTGAAGTATTTACATTACATCCATTTGTACTGATGCCTCCCCACTCCATAATGGTACTGCAGAATTGCAGCAGTCATATTCATCTATGTTAGACTAAGCATGTTGTTTACCTCTGACCCTCTAGATACTAGCCATTTGATCAGTGGTAGAGACTTGAAATTTGGACCCATCTTTGAAGAGCAGAGGTGTCTAGTGGCAGTTTTACTAAATCTGATGATATTTAAAAGAGTCAACTAAAAGATTAAATAGATTTTTTTAGATACTAAACTGACTTGATAATTAATAAAGTCTGTTCCTTATCATTCAGTTATTGATAATGTTCCATTTGCTGTCCTGAACTCTGAATTAAGTCCATCTTTGGGCTGTGGTTTGGCAAATCTTTTTGGTCATTAAATAGCATAGTCGACCTTTCACAAACTTGCATTAGCTACCCAATGTACAAATCTAATAGATCTAGGAATCTGCAGACACCAAAATGAGCTGCCACTTGTCGATTTTCCAAATTCAACAACCATTTAACAACCAGTATTTTCACAAGAAACCTGTATCCTTCACCACCACTTGATACTGTCACTTTGTAAAGCTTTACTAAATATGAAGTAATCATAAAACAGCAAATATATATAATGCATTGCCACTGACAGAATGAAATTACTTCGTTATCCCTACATTTTCAGGTTGTTGTGTTCTTCTAAAGCCAAAGTATGAGGAATTTATTTAATGATTGCATTTCAGAATTTTTTTTTAACTAGAATAAATGTGGGAGGGAGAAGAGCATTAAAACTGGAAAAGTGCTAAAATTTTTTATAAAGTAGTAAAACATTAAAGTAATTGTTATCTATTTCTATTCATATCCATAATTATTAAGGATAATGATGTATAAACTATTTATGTGTCAAGCTTGACTTTTAATAAATAAAATAAGAATAGTTTTCAGTTTAATAATCTTAAAAATATTAAAGTGTTAAAACTTGAAAAACACATTGCAGTTACAATATAACATTATCAGCTAGTTTATATGTGTTGCACTAATTATTATGGATTCTAGGTGAACCTGGGCCTGTTGGACCTCCTGGAGCTCCTGGACGTCCTGGAATAGGAGAGAAAGGAGAACCTGGAAATCCAGGTCGACCAGGATTAGATGGAATTAATGGTGAACCTGGTGCAAAAGGTAACTTTATATATTCTAATATAATTTTTGTTCATGAGATGAGTAGTTGTAGATTAAAACAATTAGTTCAGTTCATTAAGTATTGGCATATTATAATGATCTATTTTAATATTTAATGTTTCATCTTGCATTTAATGATATTCATGTTTTTCATTCAGCACAGAGAAAAAAAACAATGTGGTGTGACATTAGCTGTTGGGTAACCTTAACTTTACAGCTTTGTTTACACACACTTATTTTTTCAACTGTGGTGTTTCCATACTTTTCTTTCAAAACTTAAGTACTTTGTTTTTATTAAATAAACTTGGGTACTTCCATGCTCCTCTTTCAAGTTTGCTATGCATACTTTTCCCTCCAGCCCAGCTACTCTCATTTGAAAGGTCAAATCGAAGTATCCTCATACTTCTCTTTCAAGTTTGCTATGCATAATTTTCCCTCCAACCCAGGTACTCTCATTCCCTTTCAAATCGAAGTATCCTCATACTTCTCTTTCAAGTTTGCTATGCATAATTTTCCCTCCAACCCAGGTACTCTCATTCCCTTTCAAATCCAAGTATCCTCATACTTCTCTTTCAAACCTGGGTATCTCTATACTTCTCTTTCAAACCTAGGTATCCCATACTTCTTTTTCAAACATGCAATCTATACTTCTCCTTCCAGCTAGAGTATTCTTATACTCCTTTCCAGCTCTGTTGTTAAGTCTGGGAACTCTTTTACTTCCCTTTCCAGCCAAAGTGTACTAATGAAAAGTTAGATATATTTAGCCTGTCATCTGTAATTTTAGCATTATTCTTTGTAGATTTTTAGATATGTTATTTTCATTTATATTGTAAACAGTGTTAATTACTGTGCCTATTATTTAGTTTAGGTTTCTTATATATGTCATTCATACGGAACAGTATTAATCATCAAGGTGGCTAAGTTTTTTTTAGATATGACTTTCATGTGGCATAAGATATGAACCATGTTAGCTTTCGGTGGTCTTATTTTGTTTTTAGACATATCATTCTCATTAACAGTTGGAGCTATTATTTGGCCAAGGTCTCTTAGACATGTCACTCACATGGTAAAAGAAGTTCACATATTTCTTCATACGTGTTATGTAAAAAATATATAATAGTATAAAATAGAACTACCAGTCACTGTTTACTTTATTGAAAGGTGTCAGTTCACAGTTGGAAAAAAATAATTACCCACACTTTTCTCTATCCTTAAAAAATAGGCAACATTGCATATGTGTTACAAAATTCTAGAAAAAATGAATAAATACCTCTATATTCTGTACTTAGGTTAACACAGCTTTAACACTATAAGTTAAGCAAGATCTGAACTATGATATTGTTACGTCTCCGTTTATTAATTGATTTTCCGTAACTTCGTTCCGACGAAACTTAAGTGACACAAGTCCTTTCTTAATAAAACTGGTTTATTCTTTCCGAATATAACTTTACCGATACACTCAACTTCAACAATCGCGCTAAACAAACGCTATAACAACGAACGTGCTCAATAATACTTCTGACTGCAGATCAATTACTCACTGTCTACACACACATTACCCCGTCACGTTGTCACCCTCTTTTATATACCAGTCTACCATATATCTAGTAAATGCTAGAGCATTCGCCAAGGTACAGGTTAGTTCTAGAAAATAGGTGGCGCCACACCAGTCACGTGACCTCGATGACGCAACAATATTTTATATCAGTATAGTCTCATTTGTAGTAGGCCTAATGTACATCAGGTGTACTTCATACATAATCAGTTTAGCAGTTTAGGTACCTTTGGAGTTTTCAATGGAAATAGAAGTTAAGCCTAAGCAGACAGTTAAGAAAATAACAGTCAATTGTTCACTGGTTAGTGGTGAAGGCTAAGTGAGACTGAGCTAGCAGAATAGTAAAATGTTTTAATTTAATACTACTAATACTTTTGTACACAGTAAAAAGAGAAAAATTAAGGTAAAGCATTATAATTTTCAAAAAAAAAATATTTGTTACATAACATTTTAGTTAAAATTGCCTTCTACTTAGTAAATACAACAATCCCCACTTCTGTGCCACTGCAGGACTTTCTATGGAAATAATGTGTGTCTTGAACATTGAAATAATATCTTGCTGTTAAATACTGCATATACTGATTGACTACTAAAGAAGAGGGAGAACTACCTGATCATTACAAAATAAATTCAGACAAAAATTTGTTTTAACCTAGCAGACTCTTTTACCTTAGTATATCAGAGTGCTTTGTTGTTCTAAATTTATATATCTGTATTTTCTCAGGAGACAGAGGATTCCAAGGTCGTGATGGAGCACGGGGACCAGCAGGAGATCCTGGACCTCCTGGACTTGCTGGACTAAAGGGTGACAAAGGGTTTTCAGGTAGACCTGGACTTCCAGGACAAGGACTTCCTGGACCAAAAGGTGATGATGGTCTCCCAGGTATCCCAGGACCTAATGGTGAACGAGGACTTCCCGGGCTGCCAGGTCCAATTGGAGAGAAAGGGTTGCCCGGCCTACCAGGTACAAATTGATAGTTGCTGTTACTTATTTAAAAGCAGCTATCTGTTAAAATAGTGACAGGCTGGATTCTAAAATAAAAGTTGCACTCTAAATATTTATCTATTGAAACTATAGCTAGTAGATATGTTGATGTAGTTACTAACAGTTAGTAGTTACTAATAGTTGAATTGTTAACACAGCCCTGCAAATTTAAACTTCATTAAAATTGTTTTGGTTTTAAAAATAGGTTTTCCATAATTCATCTATGCAGATTTCGAAAATAATGTTATCTTTTTTCTATCTTACTTAGATCAAATTATCATTTCGTTTACCACAATGAAAATATTTTATATTACAACCCAACTCTTTGAATTTATTGAGCATGTTATTGACAATATTTTCGTAATTTGGGTTTTTGTTCTTTCCTAAAAATTTCTCAGTTACATCTTTAAAGGCAATCGACACTTTTTTCAACTTTCCTCACTGTAATTTCAAACTGTTCATCCAAAGTCAATTTCCTAATCTGAAGCCCAACAAAAATTCCTTCTTTAAGTTTCGCTTCTGAAAGAGATGGGAATTGCCTGCATAGATACTTGAAACAGTCGCCATCTTTGTCTAAGGCCTTTACAAACTGCTTCCTCAAGCCCAGTTTTACGTGAAATTGAGGAAATAGGACTTTTTTTTTGTGTTAACTTTCACATTCAATGTTTTTTTATCTCGGTATCAGGCTGACTCTGCATGGCCATTGCTTCTTTATCCAGTGCTGATTTCCTGCTCTGCTGTGCCATTCACACAAAAACATGGAAACTTTGTATAACTGGATCACTGACCCAATAACATACAAAGGTCTTTTAAGTCTCCACAAAGTAGCCAACCATGTTCTTAGTATTTGACC